TGAGGGTCTGCTTGCCTTTCATGTCAGCACTGCCTCTCGAAGCTAAAGCTGTGAAGCCACTGAGCGTTCCATCAGTCTCATTGGATTATCTGTTTTTATGAAATCTTTTACACAACTTTGGGAGTTAGCAACTTTACACACATAATTATTTTGCATGACTAGCCCTACCTGCACACCTATTTTTTTGTTTGTTTTGGATATGATCCACTCAGAATTTTGTCTATATTTTGTTACAACTTACACTCATGCACCCAAATATGCCATTTCCTGAAGGCTTTGATATGCACCGGTGAAGAGACCTTGCAAGAAATAAAAAAACTAATCGATAAACTGCGCGAAAGGGATGAAAAAATCGAAAATATCAGTACTTGGCTGCAAGGGAATCTTGAAAATCTACGTTCTCTCATGAAAGAGGAATCGCCAGTGGACCTTACCAGTCGTAAGTATATTAGCCAGCTTTTCATTATGATAATGAACTGTCCAAGGAAACTAACCTTGCAAGCAGTAACAGATGTATTTAGCTTACCATTTTGGAATTTTGAGTTCAAGACGGGCAATTGTGGGATTGATGTCCCGTGAGGGTAGTTGGCCATGGTGAATGCCCGTGGAGCAACAATTACCTGGTAGGACCACTGTTGGCCCCAAGCTCGTATTTTTATAACAATCCACCTTCTGGGCAATGTCTCCGTGACCTAAGGACCTCCCATTATGTCCTACCTCCCAACACCATGACTGAGTTTTCACTAGCCTACTCTCCTTAACTTCCAACTTCCTGCATGAATTTGGGACCTGGATCCTGTTCAAACCACAGCATCCTGCCCATGGCTCCCTATAGCTTGTCTTTCTCACATGCGCAGTGATTCCATCCAGGGAGTGCCAAAGCATTCTGTTCAGCAAGAAATGAACAAATTCCCAAACGAGGATCTCACTTGAGACTTAGCGCAAATTCCCTTAGTCATTAGTCCCTGTGACGCCAACATATATCATTCACAGCCAAGTTGCTGATCACGTTCTCTTCCTGAGCCCTCCACAGCTTCACCGGGCATCACGCTTTCAGCTGCTTCGTGCAGGGCTCCAGCTCTGTGGTGCAACTGTGCCTATTCCTCCCAGGAGGTCCTCTGACATCTTGGTGGCAGACGCCATGACACTGTAAGCCTTGTAAAGCCAGCATCACATACACAGAGGCACAGTGGGCACCTGGGCCCACCCATGCCCCCAGCCCGTGCCTGCAGCACCAAAGCTTCACCAACTGATGTCAGGGAAGAACATCCAGAGAGGATCCTGGGGGCTCTCTTGCAAAGACTCTGGGATCCTACAGGAAGTGATGGCATGTCTAGGTGTCTGGGACTGTGACGTAAGGATCAGACACAAAAATCTGTTCAATGCACTCTAGTCACTTTTCCCACCATTTGGCATTAGCGTATGGCTCTGTTTCATCTGCACGAATCCCCTTAGCAAGCAGTTTCTCCGTGGCACCTTGCTGTCCAGAACAAATGTGGGGTTTTTTTTTCCTCTTTTTTTCTCTTTCTCTGGTCAAGCTGTGAATTGTCCAAATCGTTCCACTCTGCAACTGTGCAGAACACGTGTGGCTCCCCATGAGCCTGCGATTCACTCCCCCAACCGACCACAATAGCTGGAGCTGAACCAATCTGAAGACAGAAGCCAGGAGCTTCTTTCAGGTCTCCCATAAGAGTGCAGGGTCCCAAGGCTTTGGGCCATCCTCGACTGCTTTCCCAGGCCACAAGCAGGGAGCTGGATGAGAAGCAGGGGTGCCGGAATTAGAACCAGCGCCCATATGGGATCCCGGTGCGTGCAAGGCAAGGACTTTAGCTGCTAGGCTACTATGCCGGGCCACCTGTTCTCTCTTGAATACAGCACTTATTGCACACTTGCAGGGCCTGGCCTCCTTTTCGTGATAACTGCCTTCATTAATATATTCAGTATGAGCATGCCTTGCAGTTCAGTAAGACGCCATTCATAAATCTCAACAAACACACCCTGTGAGAAAGACAGATTAATAAGAGGCAGCTAGAATTCAGTGGATTCCTTTTGGAGGATAAGCCTATATTTATTTACCTGTAAGGTAAGGGTACAGAGAGATCTTCCACCTGCTTGTTCACTCACCAAACGCCCACCACTGCCAATCACAGGCTCTTTACCAGGTCTCCCGTGGCAGAAACCATTCTCACCATGATTTGTTGCTTCCAAGAAAGATAAAATGCTGAGTAGTCAGGACTTACAGAGGCTTAATTCACTGTACAATGTCTGCCTCTCAAATCCCTGTTCATTTTAAACCTTTATTTATTTTGATTGATTCGATAGGCAGAGTCAAAGACAACAAACTCTTCCATTCACTGACTGATTGCCAAAACAACAGGGCTGTGGGCTATACTGAAACTGGGAGCCCCTAACTTCTTGGGGCAAGGACTCCAGCATTTCAGCCACTTAAAGCATCTTCTCAGGGTGCAAATTAGCAGGAAGCAAGAATGGGAAATGGAGCAGATACTCAGATTCAGGCATTTTCATGCAGCATCTTAACCATTGTGCCAAACACCTGCCCCAAAGTTCCAAGTTCGTCTAGAACATCGGGCATATGGGAATATTGCCTCAAAGGAACAGCACACGTATGACCTGGCTAAGAGCTGCTAGAATTGCAGGATGGTTGAGTGGAGCTCTGAGAAGGCGAGTAGCCAAGAGTGGAGACAGCAGCCCTGCTAGCAGGTTTTCATTCAGAACACTAAATGACTATGACTTAAGTTACACATCAACTTGCGCATTTACCAAGTATCTTAACTTGACATGTACTGAAAAATTTTTCCAGAGAATGAGCAATCTTGCACCATTTGGTTTGCTCACCAAACGCCTGCAACAGCAAATTTGGTAACTATTCAACTAAAGCCGAAAGCAGGGGCTGAGAGGTCAACCCAGGTTGCCCTGTACATAGCAGGAACTTGGGTGTAGCACCCTCACTTGAGTAATCAACACTGCTTCCCAGGATCTGCACATGTAGGAAGCTGGAGCTGGAAGGCGGAGCTTGGTCTCCAGCTCAGACAGTCCAATACAGGATACAGGTATCCCAAGACTACAAAGATTTCTTTAGTGAAAGATATTAAACATTTTTAATAAATTAAAAAAAAATTTTAAAAACCAACGTTATTGTTATGTTGTCATGGCAGAAAAGGATTTGATACAACTGTCTGCATTTCAGTAATCCTAAAAAAGACCCTATTTATAATTAAAGCAGAATCCTGCTTTAGTAAGAAATAATGAAGTGATTTATCCACTAATTCTCAAGGATCTTGGAAAAACTAAGATCTTTACTAAGTAAAGACAGTTCAGAGCAGTGATTTTATTTATTTATTTTTTCCTTTTTCTTTTTGGGAAGTTGAATTCACAGAGAGGAGACAGGTCTTCCATGTGCTGGTTCAATCCCCCAAAGTGACCACAATGGCTGAAGCTGTGCCAATCTGAAGTCAGGAGCCAGAAGCTTCCTCTGGGTCTCCCACATGGGTGGAGGGTCCCCCAAGGCTCTGGGCCATCCTCCATTGCTTTCCCAGGCCACAAGCAGGGAGCTGGATGGGAAGTGGAGCAGCCAGGACATGAACTGGTGCCCATATGGGAAACTGGCAAGTGCAATGCCAGAACTTGAGCCACAAGGCTACCGTGCCGGGCCCCAGAGCAGTGATTCTAACACCAGAGCTACCTGGAGGTATGCCCCAGGCTGATCCAACATGAGTCTCTGGGAGATGGGACCCACGCCTGTTTGCAAAAATCTCTCCAGCCAGCTACATAGTGCAAGTAAGTCTTGCAATTCATGGTTTTAGACAAATACACAAGGTAAGTGCTAAGGATGTCAACAGACCCAAATCAACCAAGAAAACATTTTGACTTTTACATTACCTGTTCAGGAGAGGTTGGTGAAACAATGACACCACATCGGTGAGAACGTAACGCATTGCAAAGACCTAAGTCAAAGCTTTACAAAGCGGAGTTAGAACAAAAACGTATACTTTTAATGAAATGTTAGCCAATTATTTAGAATATCAGCAAATAGAGTGACCATGATTTTAATAGTCATGCTCTCATGAAATTCAGTTAAAAGTGTGGATACACAGACATTCCTAAAGTTCTCTGCTTGAGGACCGTACATTATAATCTCTCACGTGGTTTCTCCTTCTGCATTTACTTTTTTTTTCCCAGCTGGACAGCTAAGAAGATTGCCAGACGGTTCCAAATACAGTAGAACCAGAAGGGATAGTGCTGGCAGATACAGGACATCCCCAGACACCCCACCACACAATTATCCAACTGAAAAGTTTTTGGCCAACTCCGATTTTTAATAGACATTAGTAAACATCCAGACTTGTAAATAACAGCAACAACAAAAACTCTGATAACTCTATTTTTATTCCCACAGAAAAGGATCACAGGGGAACCAAGACAGCTAAATTCCCACGTCCAAAATGTGCCAGGAAAAAGGCATTAACAAAGACCAACTAACGAAACCACTCGATGATACAACTGCCAGGACTCGGAAAGGCAGAAATGCACTGCAGGAAAAGTGGGTTCGCTTACTTTCGTACATTAGAAGTGTTCATGTAGGTCTTCCAAGTATGAGACTTCACTCACTCTCCCAAACCCCACCAAGTAACACAATCACAGTACACAATCCTACACGGTCCAAATGGAGAGACTGGGCATTATGTGCAAGGCTAAAAACTGTCATTTTATTTCTTCGATCTTAACCACCAGTCTTCTGAAGCCTTCAGAATGTAAGCATCACGGCACGCTTACTAAAAACTAGCCACAGGGAGCAGCTGATGGATTCCAAATTTCATTAACTCTAAGAAGCCATCAGTTGTTAAGATCTACCCAATTCAGAGAGGTCACAATGTGGGAAAAAGTGTCCAACTGTCAGTAAGATGTGGCACCGTGTCTCCCACACACATGTACACACACACACACACACACACACACCAAAAATGAGCTATAACAGTGACTGAGTATATCTATTTATTCACTTGGGAAAGAGACTGTAAGCTTACACTTTATTAATTAATGCATCAAGAAAAGAAAATGCCAGCACATTTGAGAACGATCACAGCTAAGCTTTTTACGGCTGTTCTCTTTACAGGAACAATCATCCGAACACGTCTTCAGCAAAATGATCTACTAACCGAAAGTCTGTTACATAAATTATGTTCTATTTTTCTAATCTTATCAAAATACTGTAGTGGTAAAAATAAATAGGTAACAAAACAAATGGCATACTTTATTTCCATGTTTGTTGTCAGACCCAACAGGTAAATCTTGAATTTATCATCAAGTGAAAACCAAAAAAAAAAAAAAACAACCCCAACAGAGCTGTGACACAAGCAGCTTGCCCAGTGAGACCACAGCTCTCGTGCTGAGGTGCTCAGACTGTGCCCACCGAGAGACTTCACTGACAACGACAGGGACATCATCCACTAAGCGCACGGCGATGTCATTTCTGAGAGAAGCAGGTGCTTCCTCCAGTCTCTAGTATCACGGATAACACACGACAGAGCGGGGTCTTGCAGTACTCTGGACGCCAGCCAGAGATCCGGTAAGAGCCAAGCAGACAGGACAGGCTTGTCAGCAACCTTTTCTCAGTTATGAAAGAACGGTGCTAACACTTCTTTACATGCTTTGACTTTTCCTACTGAGCAGCTTCTTCGCTGGTTTTTTTTTTTGGCATTTTACATTCAGTGTCCATTGGCCCCTTCTGAGAGTATCCGTGAAGGTTCGGTAAATTTTGCAGTGAATAAATAAAAAAGGGCTGGGGTGGGTACCAGAGCCAAAAGGGGCAAGTCTTGCTCCAGCTTATCCACTCTGGAGATGGAGATGATCCCATAGGCGTGGAGCAACCAGTGGCTGAAGAGGACAACGAGTCTCTTCTTTCTGGCCAGAAGATCATAGCAGTTCTGTGTCATTTTAAAAAGGAAAGAGACACACAGATGATGAGGCACAGTCAAATAACGTGACACACTCAAATGTATGTTTACTTCATACAAAATCATGAGCTCGCAATCACGGAATTATTTGAGCTGTAAAAGCCGCTAGAACTACCAGTGCACTGAGGCTCAGAGCTGCAGAGCACCCGGCAGCTGCAACAAGACACAGCCCAGTGTCCTGCGTCCCAGTTCACATCAGCAGATCAGGAAATGGACCAGAGGGGAGTCTGCATGGCTCGCTCTCTCCCTGCTCCGCCCCCTTGCACCTGAGAGTCTACAGTGAGACTTCCTTGGTCTGTGGCACCCAGGAGGGAAGCTTTACTGTTCAGACAGTTCTAGACCATGCAGAAACCAGGACCAAGTCAACAGAAAAGGCATGTGCTAACACAGTGAAAAGTAAGTGCAGCATGGTGACTCCCAGTGTTCTGTCGTCATTAAATGGCTCACTGCGTCACCTCAAGCTGGACTGTCCTGCTGCTTCACGTGGAGATCTACCTGCACTGCGTGAACATGTACGGAGATCCGCTGAGCAGAGCAGCACGCTGCCCGTTAACTTGGCAGCGCATAACTCATTCTTAAACTTTGAAAGAATCAAATCCTTAATCACTTCTCCACGCCAATCTTTCCTTGGAATTGGCAGAAGTGTCAAAACGAATTCATCTTCCTCAATGAATCATATTGCACAGGTGACTAAAGATGAATACTATAGCAGAAATAATCTACAAATGGTAATAAAAAAAATATCAACCTTAAAAATACTGTCTCGATTTCTAAAAGATCCAGTGAGTTCCAGGTAAGTACTACTACCTCAGTATTACCTCAGTATTACCTCAGTACTACCTCAGTAATACCTCAGTATTACCTCAGTACTACCTCAGTATTACCTCAGTATTACCTCAGTACTACCTCAGTAATACCTCAGTATTACCTCAGTACTACCTCAGTACACCTCAGTATTACCTCAAGACCCCACCTCAACCTTTCTCTGCAGAGGAGTTGGCCGGTGTTCTGTGGGCGCAGTGCTGTCAGGCGAGGGTCTATGAGGAAGCACATGAGGTGGTCTCTCGGCCCCAGAGGAGCAAGCCTAGACTGGAGGAATGCTAGCACACCCTATGCCACGCTTCCTTTTGTGTTTGGCATCAAAATATAGAGCTCTGACACGAGCGATAAGTACTGCAAAGCATCATCTTAATCCGATACACTAAACAGAAACAGAGCTACGTCATCTAAAACATAAAATTTCTGAAGCTTGCATGCAAAATAAAAAATAGTGCATAAAACTGCTCATCTTGAATGTTTCAGGTACACATTTTCCACAAAGCAAATATGCCTCAATTATTGTTCATGTTTCCGACTGACAGTGGCTTAGTTCAGTTCCTTAAAAACAAATTTTTTTTAAATATAAATGTGATGAAATGATGATCCACTCAGCCACTGACCGATGGATGAGCCAAGACTTCCTGGTCAAAAATATTTGAAAATAAAGATATTTAAGCTTCAAAAATTAGAGATCTTTAGTAATAGTGGCTTTCCACTGAAATACTAAAAAAATTGAATTGAATTTTGGAAACACAAAAAAAGAGTAAAAACAAAAAAGGATCAGAACTAATGTTGCTTTCAATGTGATACTGAAATCACCAAAATACTAAAGACATTGTAGGCCAGAGATAAACATCCACACGTAAGAAAGACAGACAAAGACAGGAAGATACGGAGCGCACAACATGACTGCTGGTGACTCCGCTACTGTCGCCGCTGCAAATAAAACTGAAATGAAATCTACATACAGTAAAGCATTTCAATGCTTCTTCCCAAACAGTTTCAATATTTCAGTAATCACATATCTACTATGTAGGTAAATCCTGTGAAATGATTTTTCTCCATCATGCTGGATAGCTGAGCTGTATTACTTCACTACTTCACTAATTTCTCAAGGAAGACACACGGCCCAATATTCAGCACCTTGCATAGACTTCATGAAATACAAGCTGCTAGGTCCCAGCAATCAGCCAACAACTGACAGAGCAGCTGGACGTTAGCACATGTGCTAGTCAACCGTCAAATGTGCAAAAAAACAAAACAACGTTTATAAAGAACGAAAGACTTCTTACCTCTATTTCTGAAGCCGACATGTACACAGCCAGAGTAACCAGAGACAACACTAATATAATGAATGGGAAGGCATAATCTGAAAGGCAAGCGTTGGCGTTGTTAAAAATCAAGCAGGCTTTCGGAATGAACCATCACGTCAATTCAAACAGTACTACAAATCTCCCTGGACTGACTCCCTTCCCCAGCAGCCCTGTGAGTTTCGGTGCACAGCTTGTGGAGGAGAGAGCGAGTTGTTGAGGAAGGGGACAGGGAAGTGCTGCTGGCCTTGAAAGACAGACTCTGCCTGGGGAACCCAGCTCTCCAACCGCGGTGGGACAAGTCACGGAAAACACAGGGGTGACAGGCATGCCTGTGTCCCGGGAAAACTTGAGGGAGAGTAACATTTGAGTTTCATATAACTGTCACATGCCAAGATGTGTCTCTGAATGAAAAACTATCTTTGGCTCATCTGTGAAGATTCTCACCAGAGGCATCACTGAATGTAACAAATTAACTTCTTTTGTAAGTATCAAAATGACACTAATTTAGTAAAGGAAACAGAGAAGGAAAGTACCCAGTTTTCTGGAGTGGGCATCTGATGTTATGACCCCTGCTGACCCCTGCCTCGGTGTCAGGATGCCTGGGATGGGTCCTGACTGTGCCCCCAAGCCCAGTCTCCTGCTGGATCTCAACCCAGCAGGTGCACGTCAGTGGGTGACACAGACTCAGTTCCCGGCTCCTAGCTTCACCAGGCCAAGTCTCACATTCAAGCATTCGCAAAAATGACCTAGTGGATGGCAGCTCTCTCTCTGCTTCTCAAACAAAATTTGGAAAAATAAATAATAAAAGCATAGTAATAGCTCTGGTTTTGTTTTTGTTTTTTTTTTGTGCTTCCTTTGGGGAACTCTGGTTAAGAGACACTAATGTAGAAACAATTTGGTTCACTCTAAAATAATTCACTCATCAATAAACCTCAAGAATCATTCAATATTTGAGTAATTCAGTGCATCCATTTACAATGACTGTAAAATTCTTCATGAAACGACCTATGATTCTCCTCGTTTCAGGAAGTACTCAGAAACTCCAACTTGCCTATCTAGGCCTGACTTCAATTTACCAAAGAACTGAATAACTCATTTGACAGTCAGAACCCTTCGTTTCACAGGGAGTGGCTAAGTCCCCAATCAGGCCTTCCCCAGAGGACCTACTTCGCTCAGAAGGAGCTGTATGTTACTAATTAAAAGTAAATAAATAAAAACTTAAGACTTGCTGGTAAAAGGCACATAAGGCAAAAAAAAGGAAGGAAGGGAGGGAGGAAGGGAAGGAAAGAAAGGAAGAAAGAAAAGAAAGAGAAAGGAAAGGAAAGAAAAGAAAAAAGAAAAAGGAAAGAAAAAGAAAGAAAAAGAGAAGGAAGGAAGGAAGGAAAAAGAAAAAGGCAGCAGCTGCTGTTTCTAAATGAAGGGCAGACTTTGGGGAGGCAAGGGCTGGGGCCTGGGAATCTGCATTCCCGGCAGTTTAAGTGCACATCACACTTCAGCCAGGTGCAGCAGCAATTCCAAGCAGCAAGTCTGCCTCTGCGGTCTCCCTAGACACCCAGGGCCTGCCTTCCTAGGCCCTCAATCCCTCACATGTCTGCCTGCTGGAAACTCGCTGCTCTTCTCCGATGTGAGGTGCCCTCCAAACTCGCCCACTTCCTTTTCAGTTCTGCAGAGCTGGGGGGAATGCCCTTCACAGACTGCACGGGGCTGTGTTTCATGTAAGCGATAACAGCTTTCTCATGCTTCCTAGGAATGCCTTTTGGATGAAGTCTCATTATAAAATGATCCAGATATATTCTGGGTTGGATAAAGACTAATTTTCATATATTACATGCAGAAATCCGTTTCCATTTTCTATACTTAATTCAAAAAATCTCCCAACCTAGTTGTGAGCTTCAAACGCAAGGTATTCTCTACATAAAATCAGTTTTTATCAGATGCCACTGGTCTCTTGACAACTTCCATTTCATCGCAACAGGCCCACTTGAAAAGCAAACAACTGTACTACTGTGGATTCTCAAGGATTCAAAAACAAAACACAGTGAGTTATTTTAACGAAAAAGCTCCTGTGGCCAGAGCTGTAGTAGTGAACTAAACTGCTGCTTGCATTTCAGAGTGCCAGTCCAGGCTACCCGACTCCTGGCCCAGTCCCCGTTAGAGGCCAAGTGGGAGAGCCAACGGGACCCCAGGCTTCAGGCGTGCACCTGTAGCAGCACTGGGGACTGACCAGGAGGGGTACAGCATCTCCCCTTCTCCTCATCACTCTGCCTTTCAAATCAAAGTAAATAAATCATGAGAACAAAAACTCCAAAAGTAAGCTTAGCAAAAAGTACTAAAACACATACGATGGGTAGAGTTCATGGACGCTGCTCATCCCACTTACACAGGAGGCCTCCGCCAACGGCCTGGAGCACTGTTAGGATCGGGAAGAAGTAAAGTGCGGCATAAATACTTTTAAATCGGTCCGATTTCCCTAATCCACAGGCGATCTTCTTCACCAGGAGAGGTCGAAGCAGCGTCATCAATACCAAGCAGAACGCATAATAAATAAATACAATGGTATATCTGTAAGACAAAGGAAATGTGCAACATTGGAAGTGCTTCAATCCATTTTTATTCCTCCTCATTTTTACACCAACAATCCTAAAAAAGAGGTTTGAAAAGAATACTGTTTATCACAAAGTATCATATCAAGTGGCAAATATGTATCGCTTGATTCCTTTTCCGGGCAACCTAAAATACGGATCAAAAATCCTAAAAATGTTTTAACTCCTTTGACCAAACAACTTCACTCACAGATCTTTATTAGAGGGAAACAATACATAAAATACATAAAAATACATTTAAAAAAAATCCTTCACATGAATCTTTACTGAACCCTTTTATAATGAAAGTTTGGGAAGAAAGTAAATACCCAACAATAGGAAACTGGTGCATTTTACAGCATTTACACAGGGATTAATTATGAACAACGGAACAGGGCATTCAGAAATAAACTCACACATTTACAGTGATTTACGTCTTGACAAGGGCCAGCAACACACATGGAGAAAGAATAACCTCTTCAATAAATACGGTTTGGAAAAGTGGATATTACACTGAATAAAATATTCTTATCTCACACTACAAAAAACCCCCGCAAAATGGGATAAAACTTTAAACATAAGACTTGAAAATGCACAAAGACTAGACTGAAACATAAGAGGAAAACACGACACTGGAGAAGCAAGGATTGTTGTGTATGAGCCCGTGGGCCCTGGGAGTAAAAGGGAAAAGACAAACGGGATGACCCCAAACCAACTCGGCCCCGGAAACAGAGTCAGGAGTGGGCGGAAACACTGCAAGTCCCACGCCTGATATTTTAGTACCCAAAATATGTAAGGATCTTAATTCAATAACAAGGAAACAAACAATTCAATCTAAAAAGGGCAGGGGCTAAGATGACCACATCCCCTATCAAGTACAGGTTTCATACCAGGCTCCAGCTCCCTGCCAGTGCAGCCCCTCGCAGGCAGTAGGTGAGGGCTCCCGTGGCTGGCCCCAGTCACCCCAAGAGGAATCCGGACTCAGGTCCCGGCTCCCAGTCACAGCCCAGCTCGATCCTGGCGATCATGGGCAATCGGGGGTGAACCAGCAGAAGGGCGCTCTATCTTAGTCTGCTTCTCAAATTAGAAACAAACAAAAACATCCCAATGGACATTCCTACAAAGTAGACAGACTCACAAATGGGCAATGGAAAAACTGTGCAACATCCCTTCTTCAGGGAAATACAGATGAAAGCACGTCATCTCCTATGTGTTAGGATGGTTACTGTAAGAAATGTTCGCAAGAGGAGGAGATGACAAAGGTACCCGTTAGAACACCACTGAGGGGCCTGTAAATCGGTACACCTCATGAAAGACAGCATGAATTTCCTCGAAACGCTGACAGCAGAGCTACCTCCGGGCACCCCCGTCTACAGCCAAAGGAAAAGAAGTCAGCATGCTGACGAGGTATCTGTACCCTCCTGCTGACTACTGCACTGGTCAACATGAAGGGATGAAGAAAGCGCATTCATGCACACACAGGGAGCCTCATTTGGCCACTAAGAGGAAGGAGGCCCTGTCATTATAGGAAACATGGGTGGCGTCCAATGGAAGGAAACAGGCATGTCACAGAAAGATCAGCTGTGAATACTTTGACTTGTTCTCATATGAATCTATAAGATTCAGCTTCTATACGAGCGAGCAGAATGGCCATCACCAGGGCTGGGAGAGCTGGAGGGGATGAGGCAGATGGAGACGGAAGAGCACAAAATTTTAGTTAGTATTCTGAAATAAATTCAAGAGATTCGGCACTCAGTGTGGCAGCTCCAGGTTATTTATCTGAAAGCGGCTGAGGAATCAGTACGTTGACTTCTCCAGTAATCACAATTTCAGTGTTCTCAACCACAAAGAATAAGCATTCGATGTAACACACCCTTTAAAATTAGCCATTCCTTACACATGTATATATTAAAACACAGCACTAAGTTAAACTGAAGCATATATACAATTTTGGATAACTAAAAATATTCAGTATCCACTCTTGCTTAGGTAAGACTGCAGATTTTAAGATGGCATGTTGGAGTCTAATATCCTTTAAAAACTACGTAAAAGAGGTCTTCGAAAAGTTCATGGAAAATGTATACCATATAAAACTATGCATGGTTTTCAAGACTTTTCTAACAGAATAAACTTATTAATTTTCCCATGAATTTTCTGAAATACCCCTGACTGGACATGTGCAAATAGAGAACAACAAAAAAGACAAACCTTCCCGCAGTGCCAATGTCAACTAATGGAATGACAGATTATTGGGGTTGGTGTTGTGGCACAATGGCCACGGCCTGCAGTGTTGGTTCAGTTCTGACTTCTCCACTTTCAGTTTAGCTCCCTGGCAATAAGTTAGAGAAAGCAGCAGGGAATGATCCTTGAACTTCTCCGGACCCCTTCCACCCATGTGAAAGACCAGGAGGCCGGGGCAGATTCCGGGTTCCTGGTTTCAGCCTGGCTTCTATATTCTTTTTCTGTTTTTTTGAACATAATATTCATCAGAAAAACAAAAAACAAAAAATAATGCATTGCAATATAACACTGATAGTCAATACGAAGGTCTCTGTGTCATCTGACTACATAAATTTTAGCTCTGTATATACTTTAGTTTTTATGTATTTGAAGGGTTGGAGAGAGGATGACAAGCAAACAGAGAGAGATCTTCTATTTACTGGCTAACCCCGCCCAAATGTCCCAAAAGCCAGCCATGCAAGCCAGATCAGGCCTCGGAGCTCAGAACCTAGGTCCCCTACCAAGATGGCGGGGACACAAGCTCAGCCAGCTGCTGACTCTTAGGGTACACAGTGGCAAGAAGCTGGATGCGAAAGCAGTCGGGACGTGAGCTCGGGCACAGCCTTCCTGAGCCTGTCTCACCTGCTGAGCCATGCACCTCCCCCCCCCCGACATCATCCCAGCTCACCACTCCTAATGAGCCAGGAACTACTTTCTTTCAGTACATTTTTCTTCCATCTTTGCCTTCACTTTCCCCATCCTCTTCAACCCAGGTGCCTGCATATGCAGAGAGGCTAACTCCGACAGGGTGAACTAAAATTTCCAACAACAGTAGCTAACTGCTCATTTTCCAAATTTTCATAAGGTGAAAGTTATATTTTACAGTAAGTTTAATAACAGGAGCTTACACGTTTTTTTTTTCCATGCCTTATCTAATCAATTCCCCCTTTGAAGTAATTCTCAGTTAAGTACCAGGATATTCCTCAATTTCTAAGGAAGTTTATAAGCTATATGTATCTAATACAAACAATCTGACACTGGGCAGCCTTTTAGCCTCCAGGAATTTTTAACCATTTTGGCCATATATGTATACTTGAAATGACTAGGCAAAGTAGATAATCTATACAGCCCCAGTACTACAGGACACTATGAATTCTCAGATTTTCCAGAAATGATGGCAGCCACGCTGTAGCATGGTGGCCACTGGTAAAGTTACTGAGGAAAAAGAAACTGACGTTTATCTCCTTACCTGAGACAGAGTGCCCTACCAGTGACGCTGCGTGATGATGGTCAGAGCTGTGCTAGGGTGCTGAGGTCACACCCGGTCGGCAGGAACCAGCTACCGGATGCAAGCTGGGAGCGCTGGCCTCTCACCTCCTTCCCAGCTGCTGCTTCTGACCTTTCTACAGCTACATTAACCACCGTGGGTAAAAGGAGCAGGAGATGCACATGGTTTGACTTTACACGTATCAATTACTTCGATATTAACACCAAGTTTACTGCAGTTTCCTAAGCAGGACCAGTTGAAGTTCCGCAAGTCCTCCGGATGGTACATGACAAGACAGCACCACGGCCAAGGCTCCCGTCTCCACGAAGGAGACTCAACCATGAGAGCTTCACACACACGCTACAGCCACACACACACTACAGCCACACACACACTACAGCCACACACACACTAGTCTCACACACACTATAGTCACACACACACTACAGTCACACACACACTACCGTCACACACACACTACCGTCACACACACACCACAGTCACACACACACTACAGTCACACACACACTACAGCCACACACACTACCATCATACACACACACTACAGTCACACACACACTATAGTCACACACACTACCATCATACACACACACTACCATCACACACACACTACCATCACACACACGCTACAGTCACACACACACTACAGTCACACACACACTACCGTCACACACACACACTACCGTCACACACACACTACAGTCACACACACACTACCGTCACACACACACTACCGTCACACACACACACTACCGTCACACACACACTACAGTCACACACACACTACCGTCACACACACACTACAGTCACACAGCAGAGCTGTTGCACGCTTACACACATGGGGTGGCTGCACAGCACTTTATACAGAATAGGGAACTCAAAGGCTTAAGAGTTGGCAGGTAGGAGATACTTTCCTATCCAGATAGCTGGATATTATCTCATAAATCATTTTCAATGTGTATGCATATTTATGTTCTTGGCACTTTACTATTGAAAACTTGCTAAAAAAAAAAAACTGATTTCATTGAACATGTTATGTATTGGAAATTTGATACCACTACGAGAAATACCAGATTTTGTTTTTTATATTTTTACCAAGGAAAAAAAATGATAAAAATGCATACTAAGTTTGAAATCTAAAACTTGAACAGTGTACCATAACACGTTACAGAATCCTGCGAATTCCTAACGCTCAATCTATTAGAGGAAATCTGCAATAATCCTCACAGTTTAAGGATCGGCGTGATGGCTCAGTTGCCTGTTCTTCCAGCTGTAAGCGCCAGCATCTGATATGGGTGCCTGTTCACATCCCAGTGGCCCCCGCTTCCCATCCAGCTCTGGCCATTGTGGCCAGTTGAGGAGTGAAACAGTGCAATGAAGATCTTTCTCTCTCTAATTCTCTCTGTAAATCCTTCCAATAAAAATGAATAAATCTTAAAAACAAACAAACAAACCCAGAAGACGCTAAGCCTCAGGCGGTACTTACAGCGGGTAGACGGCCTCGTGGGTGCAGTGCACGGTGGTGATGTAATCCGGGCTGGGGTTGTAGAGCATGGTGTACCAGTCAGAGAGCATGGACACGCGACACGAGCGGATGTTCAGCACCCCGACCGGCTCGCTCACCAGCAGCGTGATGATGGCAGCCATGGTGCACTCAACCAAGGCAGTGATGTGCTGGAAGAGTGCGCTGGAACTGCAGGACCAGAAGCAGGAGACTGCATCACCTGTGGGCTTCACTGTCCAGACAGCTTTAATAAACACCCTCACGTGTTAGCATGTAGTCAAGAAGAAAAACTCTTAACGGAAAAGTCCAAAAACTTCAACAATTTTCTAAAGAGATACAGAAGGGAAATGTAGGAAAGCTACTCGAGAAAAGCAGAATCTTATTTTCTAAAACGAGACAGCCACTGTTGTAGCACAGTGCGTTAAGCTGCTGCTTGAAATGCCGGCATCCCGTATGCGGACCAGTTAGAGACTCGGCTACTCCACTTTCCACCCAGCTCCCTGCCTGTGGCCTGGGAAAGCCTTGGGACCCTGCACCCGCGTGGGAGACCCAGAAGCAGCTCCTGGCTCCCGGTTTTGGATTGTCTCAGCTCTGGGGATTGCAGACATTTGGGAAGCGAATTACCAGGCAGATGGTTCTCTCTGTCTCTCCTCTCTGTATATCTGCCTTTTCAATAAAAATAAACAAATCTCAATAAACAAATAACTAACTAAGTGGAATTTCCTTAATAACTAAGAAGGTATACCCTTCTATTAAGTTTTCTTGCCACAGTAAGACATAATCAGAATATAAAGGCAGATTAGGTGTACTACTTTTGAACCAACAGGAGAAGCGCAGCTGCTTAACCGAATCGTGTAAAGGGCAGCTGCTCTAACACCAGTGCGTGCAGACACATCATGCAGCGTGCTAACCTCTTCTTCCCAGAGTACCACTCGATGGACACCCAGTGCAGAGCCAGGGGCAGCATGGCCATGAAGCCCAGGTACAACCAGTCGTACAGCTCCGGGGACTCCATGCACGGCTGGCAGTATTTCTGGGCATTCGTCCTCTGTCCCCTCGGGCACACCTGCGGCAGAGAACAAGCCTTCCCGTCACTTCAGACCACCAACTCCCCCCTCCGACGATGCTGACGGACAGCCTGCTTCCTATTCAACACTTCAGCTCCTGCGCTGGGGAAAGCAAAAAATAAAGTACACGGAAAACAAAAACAAATCTATACTGTATATGCAACAGCTACAAAACGTTACTAAAGGACTGTATTTAGTAACCAAGATAGCTAATAATGAAAAACCTAATGATTAACATCTTCTAAAGGAACTCCAGCGCAATACCCTGGATCCTAAGGAACAAGCCATTCAGTTACAACAAGTTACAATAAAGCATAATCATAAACTTCAATGAAACTCTCATATGTGAAGGAAACACATAAATGTACCAACAAGGATTGGTGATGTGACCATAAAGTCACAACAGAATTAGAGAAGGTTTAAAAAAAAAAAATCTAACAACTGTCCAGGAAAGACGTATTATAGATACATAAACAAGGACTTTACTAATGCCACTATATTACAAGACTATTAAAGAGATTTTACACATGCAAGTAGTTCACAGACAATGTTACAAACATGAGACTTACCCCACATTCGCTGTATATTTCAGTGGAGCCATTTTTAAATAGCAGGGTCTTCCCACAATAAAGTCCAAGGCATGCTGGTTGAATATCGACAGCTTTTTAAAAACAAACGCCAGTACAGTGACATCTTTGTGATTATAAAAAGCAGTGCAATACTAGCCGAAGCTCTTGGCAGGATTAGCTTAACACAGTTTCAAAGTCAACTACGAGAGGTGTTAGGCAAAAGCTCGGATGCATTTATTAAAACGTCCCCTCCTCCCTCTCCTCCTTTCTCTGCAGAAAGAACCAGCACAGCACGGAATTTCCAGAACCCACAGTCTAACCAGGAGTGTCTCCAGCAGCTCAAAAAACAAGCTTAGCAGAAGTCAGAACCTGCCGGAGTTCTAGCGAACCAGGCTGCGGCCCTGCCCGGTCCCATTAACACACACCGCGAACACACTATCTACTCACACCTTTCCAAGAACAGCGTGCGTTTTTAAACAACAGGGAGCGACAGGGCATAACTTTGATTTGGGACTAGAGGGCAGGTCTGCAAGCACACTGGCCTTGGTACAAAGTTCCACACCGCCTCCAGGCTTGGGGGGAAAACAGTCCCCCAGATGCTCCAGGCTGTCTGGGACAAACCCTTGGGGGGCACTCCGCCCTCAGTGCCAACATTCCCTTCATTTACTGACCAGTTAGCAGCAGGCGGGTCCCTGTCAGGGCCCCAACAAATCCCACAGGGCCCCTGTCCCTCCAGGGATGCGGTGAGATGGTCCTACGCCCAAAGCTACAGTGAGGGACCCATGTGTTTCACGACTATTCTTGAACAATCATTTCCAAGTTCTGCTTCCAAATTCACCCAGACTGAAACGCAGACTGAAATCGCACGATTTGTTTTTCATTGTCACTGTAACAACACTTCGGCCGTGGAAGTTTCTGAACCTGTGGACTTCGTCCCTTTAACCGGCGTTCAGATTTAACCAAGGGCAACCGCACCGGTCAACACTACAGGAACCCACCGGGGCACTGCCACGGGATTCTTGCAGAGAAGTTAAATCATTTGGGATCTGCTTCATTCGTCAAAAAGTGCACGGAAAATGTGCACTGTGGAAAAGGAAAAAAAAAAAAAACCACACCCTAGGGTTCTTTTTTTTTTTTTTTTTGGCATCAAAATAAACTTGTCTTTTAACTGCAGTTCCTGCGGACTTTGAGCCGTATTTCCGTACTTTACATGGGGCCTCTCCCAGGTCCCAGCTCTCTCCCGGAGCGAACGGGGCGATGGTTTTACACTGGGGGGGCACACAGACCTCTCCCCCTCAGCGGGACAGTACATCGGGGCAGAAAGCCCTCGAGCACGCAGCCCCCAGCTGCACCCTGTCTTCCTGTGGTGTGCCCTCAGCCGCCCTCACAACACGCTCCCCCAGCATCCCACACAGCGACCAGCGGCCATGTCCCACAGAGCAGCCACACAGGCCGGCCCTCCCTCCATCACCCCGGTCGGCCAGCCCCGGCCAAGGAGCACCCCAACCCCGGGAGGAGGCCGGGCTGGGCCGGGGCGGCGGCAGGCGGCCAGGACGCCCACGACAACCCCCGCGCAGCCAGCAAGCGGCCAGCAAGGCGAGCGCTCCCCAGGCCCCTGTCCTCTCCCCGGCGTCCATTTACCCATGGGCCGCTTTTGGGGGTGCGCTCCAGAAGCCCTGGGGTCACAGGCTGCGGCGGAAGACGTCGGGACATCCGGGCCACAGTAGCGTCGGCGGCTCCGCCTCCCGGTCACCTAGGCGACCGCCCCGCCTCCCCGCCCGCTTCCGGGTCCTGCGTCTTAGGCGCATGCGTGGGTGCGGCGCTTAAAGGCCGGGCTGCAGGGCAGGGCGGTGGTCACCGTCGGGAGTGTCCGAGCGCGCGTGATGGAGGGCGCGCTGGCCACGCTTCGCCTACCCCCGCACGAGCCGGACGGCCCGGCGCTGTCGGTGGTGGACATGCACACGGGCGGCGAGCCCTTGCGCATCGTCGTGCAGGGCTGCCCGGAGGTGCTCGGGCCCACGCTGCTGGACAAACGGCGCTACATGCGCCAGCACCTGGACCACGTGCGGCGACGCCTGATGTGGGAGCCGCGCGGCCACCGCGACATGTACGGGGCCGTGCTGGTGCCGAGCGAGCTCCCGGACGCGCAGCTGGGCGTCCTGTTCCTGCATAACGAAGGCTACAGCTCCATGTGCGGCCACGCCGTGCTGGCCCTGGGCCGCTTCGCTCTGGACTTCGGGCTGGTGCCCACGCCGCCGGCCGACGCCCGCGAGGCCCGCGTCCGCATGCACTGCCCCTGCGGCCTGGTGACCGCCTACGTGGCGTGCGAGGGCGGCCGCAGCCTCGGCCCGGTGCGCTTCCACAGCGTCCCGGCCTTCGTGCTGGTCACAGGTAACCGGGGCGCTTCTAACCGTGGACGGTCCCTGCACCTGACGCGGCGCAGCTAACCCAAACGCCTGCTTCATAAAAAGGCCATTCTACAGCTCCGGGAGTGTGTCCCCGCTCCTGGAGGTCTTGGGAGCAATTTGACCAACACAATTTACTTCCAGCTTGCCTTGCTGGACACCCTGTCTCCCATCAGCCAGCCAGTCTGTGCCTTCATATTTCACGGTCCAGTGAAGTCAGGCCGTGTCAGGACCAGGGCCAAGAATGGCCAAGGTACCAGGATTCCAGGCTGGCCTCGGAAATGCATAGTTACCCATGACAACGTACTAACAAGCTCCTTTCCCTCTCCTTTGGGAAAGCGAATCGGAGACCCCAGTGTGGAACAGAAACAGCCCCTGCCTGAGTTCGAATTCTGACATCGCCTTTAAAGTCGTGGAGTCTTAGACCTGTTACGATGTCATCTCTGCCTTTGTTCCTTCATTTATCTCATAGAATCGGGGTTAGGATTGAGTTTGAAAAATAAATATGTCAAATGGATTCCTGGAGATGGAAACAGGACTAGAGTTCTCCAAGCATGTGGCACCCTTAAAAGGTTGTGTCTGGTTCCCTGGTATGAATCCTTGCCAGCCGGTGAACCGGGGCATTGCTTAGCCCTTTCACAGAGGCTCGTGGGAAGACCTCTCAAGCCGGCCTCTGGTCTGCTACCTCGGGACTAACTCCAAGACACAGAACAGTACCTGTCAGCAAGAAGGCTTCCTTCCTAGTTGCCACCGGAAGTGAGCTGGGAGTTAATTAGTCATCCAGGAAGAGGGTGATCACTCCTTTAAAGTCTCCAGGCCATGCAGATCGATCTATTTGAACGTGATTCTCCAAATGGCTTTATTGTGAATGCCACTGAATTAGCCCAGGCATTTATCAGTCTGAGAGCACTGACAGGTGGCCGAGTCGAAGGTGGCACATTGATACCATAGTCCCCTTCAGGAAGGAATGGTGATACATGGAGACTGGGAGGACACTTGGAGATGGGATCAAAGTTTAGGGCAGCATCTGAGGCAGTTTAGATAGCGCAGCTGCCTCATGTCCCCCAGGCAAGGCCAGACATTTTGCAGAATGACAGCTGGCAGCAGGATCACCAGCTAGCTAACCTTGGCTGGTTAGGGCAGGGGCAGCTGATCCCTTCAGCCTCCTCAGGGCATCGCTGTGATGACACACTGACTAATGGGCCTTAACGGGAACTTTGAATGAACTATGAAACTGAGCTACTACCTCTGCTTAGAAAAAAAAACCACATTAAAAAATAGACTTATGGTAGTCAAGGTCACTGCTCTGCCCCTCCCCATGTCCATGACCTCCTACAAGGAAGGGCAGCGACTGGTGCCACTGCTGGTAAAGTGAGGCGGACCCCTTGGGGGGTTGCAGAGTTCACATCCACCCCACCCGGCTGAAAGGCAAACTGTCTGCTCACTGTCACCCAGGTGCCTGGAAGCCCTGTCAGGATGGTTAATGAGTACGTGTTGGATGAGCAAAGAAATAAATGGAATTTGCAGAATGTGCTGATTGGCCGAGTCCTCCTAAGAACTCTATTCCTATTGGAAGTTAAATATTAACATTTATCTGGCCCCTAATTTGTGCTGGGTGCTCCACACACTTCATTACATGGATTTCTTAAAAACAACATGTTTATGGGAAGTGGCAATTCCGTATTACCCGCAAGGACACCAAAGCCACTCGGAGTGGCAGAAATAGGATCTGCGGCTGGGTTAGGATTGGTTTCTTCAATCTTAATGTTGTGTGTTGTGTTCTGTGTGTGTGGCCTAAAACATAGGTTCTAACTTTCTGGAAAACTCCACATTATTCATTTACCTGCCATCTTTTAAGTTTGTCTTTCTTGTTCTGTTTCTTTTCCCCCGCAAAAGAGAGCCATAGCAACTTCCGTAGCAATAGACACACAGTAGGTGCTCACTTAAACCCAGGCAAAGTAAATTAAGATTCCAGTGATAAGTCTGCATAAGAAGAAAATGAAAACCCTGAGGTTTTGGGATTGAGTTGCATAATTTAGTGAAAATACTGGGTTTTGCAGTCACCTGAGGTTGGGTTTGACCCCAGGCCCTGCCACTTGAATGGTATAAAATACGGTACACCCTCTCATAGCTGCAAAAGGTAAGGAGCTTAGATCCCAAAAGGAAGGGGCCAGTGCATACAACTACCTGCCATGAAGGGTGTGCTCCTGTGCAACAAACGTCTAACATTGAGCTTCATTACTAACACTGAATCTTCAAAAATCATTGCACTGTGGAGCAGTGAGCTGGGCTGCTGCTTGCAATGCCAGCATCCCATATTGGGGCATCCGTCTGAGAGCCAGGGGCTCTGCTTCTCAGCACCTTCTTGCCAATGGCCTGGGAAGGAAGCAGATGATGGCCCAAGGACCAGGGCCCCTGCTAACCATGTGGGAAGCCCAGGTGTTGGCCTGGCCCAGCCTCAATAATTGTGGCCATCTGGGGAGTTGACCAACAGATGGAAAACCTCTCTCTCTCTGTTCCTTTCTTTCTCTCTCCCTTCCTCTCTTCAAATAGATAAGCAAAGTCTCCCTGCTGCTGCCTTGCTGCCTCACCCTGAGCTGGTGTGGGGAGGCCAACAGAGCACAGGTGCCTCTGCACTTCCCTCCTGGAGACTGCCTTTCCCGGAAGAATCCTAACTCTTGGAGAATTAGTTCTCCTTTTAGGACACTGATGTGCTGACAGATGTCTTTCTGTTGAGAGCTTAGATTTCCAGAAAACACCAGCTTGGCTTTCTGCCCTGACATAGCTTCACTGCAGAGCAGGGATGTGCAAGCCGGCTTCAACAGGAAAAGGGGGTGGAGAAGAAAATATAAGACGACAAATATTCTGCCTTCAAGTATCACCCAGCTCCATCCTTTTGGAAACCTAAACTCTGCATTGCAAAAAGCTGAACTGAAGTGAAACTTTGGGTATGCTGAGAACTTAAAATGCTCAAATAGAAATCCTAAAATGCAGAATGGCACTAGGGAGGCAGAGTGATTTCCAGTTGCCTTGTTCAGAGTCAGAGACTGTCGCTGGAGAAAAATATGCAAATGAATAAGCATTTGGTTGCCATTTATATAGCCCAATTTCTCTCTCTCTCAAGATTTATTTTATTTTATTTTATTTTTATTACAAACTCAGATATACGAGAGGAGGAGAGACAGAGGAAGGTCTTCCATCTGATGATTCACTCCCCAAGTGACTGCAACGGCCGGTGCCATGCAGATCCGAAGCTGGAAACCAGGAACCTCTTCCGGCTTTCCCACACGGGTGCAGGGTCCCTTAGTTTTGGGCCGTCTGCTCTCTGAGGCCACAAACAGAGAGCTGGAAGGGAAGTGGAGCTGCCGGGATTAGAACCGGCGCCCATATGGGATCCTGGCGCGTTCAAGGAGAGGACTTTGTAGGCCACACCGCCGGGCCCCCAATTTCTCTTTTTAAAAAAATTCTTTTGGCATTACAGCTCAGAGGAGTAATTTGTAAATACGATCCCAAATCCTCTGCCTTTCCAGCCATCTCTGGCAGTGCGGGTAGGGACCTAGACTTCCTTACCAGTGTCCACAGGGTGATGTCCCCGTGTTTCTGCTCTCTAGGCTGACAGGCTGTTTCCTAGAAAAGACCCTCACGATAGTTGACAATTATGTACAAGTCCATACAACAAAAGACGCATTTACGTTGATGCCAAAAAATATTGCAAGCAAGTGGTCTTCAAAAACTTTATGGAAAATGAAAAATAACTTTATGTATTTCAAAGAATGTGTGTATCAGGGAAGAAAACACACTGATATAACTCATGAATATCAAATTAAAAAAATAAGAATGCTGCTAGCTATTATTTGACTGATCCTCACTAATTTTGAAAATAGATTTCTGCTTTCTGTTTTGAATAGGAAAAGTCCCTGTATACCCATTGCCATGGAATAAACATTTAAAAAGCCATGAATTTAGTGCTGCCAAAAAACTAAAACCAAACTTATTTTCAAATGCATCTTTTTTTTTTTCCAGATCTCATGGTGGATGTTCTTGGGCACGGAAAGGTGGTGGTGGACATTGCCTATGGCGGTGCCTTTTATGCCTTTGTCAGTGCCGACAAGTTAGGACTGGATGTGTGCTCTGCCAAGACAAGAGTGCTTGTGGATGCAGCAAGTGCAGTGACAGAAGCAGTGAAAGCTCAGGTCGGTACAGTGGCTGCCTTCGCAATAAGTGCTTTTGTCTGTGGCATGAACACAAATGCCATCTTGTCTGCAAAGAAAAGTAGATCTATATAAGTTGGTAGTCGTATTCAGAGTCGAGTA